TCTCATAAGCAGCACAATCAAGAACAGCCACTACCCAGACCACTCTCCTCCTTGGTCCCCCATGTGCAGTCACGGACACCACAGCCCAGGGTGTGGTCAAGGGATACTATGCATGTGCTCAAGAACTGGTTGCTATTGTGACTATTCATCTTGTGCCATTTGGAATGGCAATCTTACAGGGAGAATTAGTAAGTCTTTAACTTAGGAATCACTTCATGAAATTAGACTGTTTTACAATTTAAATGAAAAGATGAAATGCAGTGCTGTGTATTTTATCAAGATCAGCAAAACCTAAGGGTGGTATAAAGATATCTGGCTGTGGCTACCTCGTTTCCATTTGCCAACTGTATACCAGAAACATTCCATTACAGATACTTCCTTTGCCTTTTTATTTGGTAGGAATAAATCAACCTAGGACACTTTATTAGAGATAGGAATAAAACCCACAAAAAGCTGGAGTTCCCAGATGAGTTGGGGGTAGGACCAAATATGCCGAGGAAAAGAGAGAGCAGCATACACACAGTATTCTCTATACAAAATTCCAAGCATTTGAATGAATTAAGGGCAGGGGGAGGGAGGGTGGACTGAGAGGTACAAACTAAATGGAATATATACAGGTGTCAGCTTATACTAGCCACTCTGGTGCCAGGGCCATACATGTTTGACAGCCTGGCAGATTCATGACATTGAGCTGCTATTTTACTGGGCTCTACCACTAACTGATGGCCAGTTTTGTGGAGACAAGATTATGTGTGATTTATCTACATAATTATATAAACTCTAAGAAGTCAGAGAGCTGGACAAATTAACCACTTGGTGATAAATTTGTCTTGAACTCCATCTCACCAACTTCCCCAACCTTGTTGGCTTTCATAGGCTGATTTTTCCCCTTTCTTCACACACCATAAATTCTGGCCAAATACCAAAAGCTGGATAATTATCCTCAGCTCCTGTGAAAAATGCTGTGGTCTGCTAACTTTTCTAGAACTTAGAAAACATTAGTTGGAAGGACCATGCTCATAGTTCTTAACTTACACCATGGCAAATCAGAGACCAAAGCTGTTCTCCACCTAAAATACTACAGACTGCCTCACTTGCACTGATGAAAGACCCTTTTAGCTGATCTCTAGAATATGGTGTACCAGACTGACCTGTTACAACCAGCTTTTTCTGAACTGGTGATATTAAGGCAACTTTTAACTAACTAAGGGTTTAATTTATTGTCCTTCTAACTTTACTCTCTAAAACATTTGATTTAATTTCACATTGAAGCTCCAAAGCAACCTCACAAAAGGGGCAATTATGAAAAATCATTACCTTGAGCTGCGAGAACTTTCACACACTGCTAGAGGGAGTGTAAACTGGCATAACCATTTTGAAAAAAATTTGGCAGCATCTACTAATGTGAACATATGCACATCCTATGACCCATTCTAGGTACACAGCAAATTCCAATCCTTAGGGGCACACACAACAGAAATGTATAACTATGTCAACCAAAAGACATGTGCACATGCACATTCACAGCAAAAACCTGGAAATGAATCAAATGTCCATCAACAGGAGAATGGACTAATAAATAGTGGTAAAGCCCCATAGTGGAACATGTACAGCAAACAGAAGGAACAAATCTACAATCACTCACAACAGTGTGGATGCATCTCACAGACAGTGTCGAGTGAAAGAAACCAGACATAAACAAAAATCACCGTATGATTCCATCTAGACAACATTCAAAACCAGCCCATCTAGTGTATGGTGTGAGACACCAGGATAGCTGCTACCCTTGGAAGGGGAAGAAAGACAGAGGAATATGAGGAGGGCTTCTAGGTACTGGTTACACAGGTATATTCTCTTTGTTAAAACTCACCAGGCTAAATACTTAGGATTTGTATATTTTTCCATATGTACATTATATTTCAAGAAAAAAATATAAGAGAAAATCTCATCACAGATTTAAAAAAAATATTTTCATCATACACGCAATGATTCTTTCCTCTACAAATTCACTTAAGAAAAGCCTATGAGAAAGTAAAAAGAAAAAAATGACCCGTTTCTATTCCAAAGGCCATTTTTATGAACTCCAGGTTTTTGGCAACAACTCACTACGCGAACAGCTATATCGGAGCCTGCTGCAAATCCCCTCGTGGTCCTTTGTCACTGGAGGCACCATCGTGGTATCACTTTGGAATTGGATGGAAGTCAGTATAAATTCTGGCTCCACTATGCAGCAAGGCAATGTGGCCTTGCCATGCAACAGTTGTTCAACAGTAGAGTGAAGACAATGAGAACTAAGAGAAACAATGTGGGTGAAAAGCCTGGCATATAAACACCTGTTTCCACCAGGATGTAATTTAGGGAAAAAGGCAGAAGCATCTCTCTGCCCATCTTTTGCAAGCTAAATGCAGATGCTGGAGCTCCTTAGAAGTTCTCTGTGAACAGTTACTGTGGATGATGATGCTTTAACACCATCAAGAACCAAATGCCAGTTGTCACAGTGAATTTCCTCCTAAACATTTATCCCAATAGTTTTAGGAAATAAATTCTTAAAATAAGTACTGTTTTTAAAAAATCACTTTGTGATCTTCATTCTGCTAGGCATTTGTATCTTTTGAAAGTTTAACTTTCAAGGAAATTAGATTTCATAGAGAGAATTTAAGATATGCTCACAAGACAGAGAAAAGGACTGACGATCAAAGTATCCTGTGTTGTGAGCAGGCAGACTTCTAAGACTACACACACAGACATCATTTAGATCAAGTGGCAAGTCTGATGATGGTAATAAATTCCACACTTGCAATTTAATAGTTTTGTGCGTGTGTGTGAAAATGAATGCTTCCCAATCAATGTCAACCTATCCCCATTTTGGGGTAAAGCCAGTAGAAACTAATACCTAAAACATGTTTTGGGTTTTGCATTAAAGATTTATGTCGATTGATAATACAAGTTGTCAGATCATAGTTTTTTCAGTCATGGCTTCCTCAGGCAAACATACCTGGTTGTTTCCACGAGAGTTAGAAAACCTGTCATAGGAGGAAGTCAGGCCAAGTGACATTAGTCATGTTGAGACCTACTCAGGTGTCCAAGGGTCTCTCTATATTTATCTTAGTTCACCTCTACATGCCTGGGCCAGAGAATCTGCATCCCATGCCAGGAAGCACAAACTTTGGCTCTACTAGGCACTTGGGGCATTACTACAGAGTAATTATAAAAACCTGATTGGATGACTATTACTAGAGGAATAAAACACACAACATACACCCATACATATTGCCCTCCAAGAACAGAAGGAATGAGGGGCAGGGGTAGGGCTGGAATTAAAGGTACATTTTATTTTTAAAGATGTTGGTACTTCAGTTTAAAAGAACTGTGAGTTCAGATTTCAATGTGGTAAAAATGTGGTGAATAGCTGTCACCTCGAACAGGGTTCCAACAAGCTAAAGATGGGACAGTGTGAGCATCAAAGAGAGTAATGCCCATAACAGATTAAACAAAAAAACTACAAAAATACATAAATTCACAATACTAAAAACATGCTCACACGCTAGAAAGAAAAAAAGACGTTTATGGGTCACCTTTGGAGATGGGGTAGAGGGAAGATGGTGAAGAGGCAGCAACTCATTATTAGGTAACTGATAAAGGGGAAGAATGATGCATTCATCTAGCTTTTCCTATAAGGAATGATTCTGAGGATAACCAAGTGATTGATAAAGAAAAGGTTTTTTAAGAAAAGAATCACTGCTAACAAACGCAGAAGAAATATAAATATATTTCTTATATAAATAAGAAATATGAATAAAATAGAAATAAATAAAATGTATATAAAATATAAATATAAATAAATGCAGAAGGAATAACAAATTAGAAATCTCACCATTTTGCAATGCCTGATGAAACACTGATTTAGGAAGCAATTCCCAAAGGCAGGTGAAATCTTAGGTGAGAGTCTGATGGGCAACTGTGTAGTGGGATGGACCAGTCTAACAACACCAGAACCACTGCCCAAACAATGTCACCAAGAGAGACAACCAACATTACAAGAAAAATGTCTGTCTCCCCAAAGTGAAACTGAATTTGATAAAATATCCAGAGCAATCCTCTGGTTTATGGGAGATGTGTGGAAGGGTGGGAAAGGGGGAGAAGGATAAGTGAAATGATGCTGTGCACCTTCTGGGTACAATTGGGTACAGCCACAGGTGGAAAACCCTGGTTTCTTCAACACAAAAAATGGTATTTAAAAAGAAAAAAAGTCAACAAATTGTTAACACGTTAAGACAGATTTAAGAACACTATCAGCAAATGCAACATATGAACCTTATTTGAATACTGATCCAAACAAGTGATGCATTTAAAGACATCTAACTAATGATATTAGGAATCATGGTTACTTTTGTTGGGTGTGATAACACTACATTATGTCAAAGGATAAGATTCTCATTGATTAGAAACACATTTTCAAGTCTATCATTCACCCCAAAGCAAGAAGGAGGAAGAGATGAAATATCGATAATTTTGAAGTTGTGCAATAGGTATACTGGAGATTATTATACTATTCTCTCTACTTTTGTCTATAGTTGAACAGTTCCATAACAAAAAGTTAAAAATGGCAGAAAAGTGATGCTTGTGGAAGCCAGGTCATGAGAGTTCATTGTACTTTTCCTTTTGCGGTGTCTATCTTTGAAAATGTCTGTAAGTAAAAAAAAAAACAAAACAAAACCAAACATAGATAATCTAAGGAGGAACTTTTAAAGAACTTTGCAAACGTTGCCCATTCAGAGGCTGACCTACCCAAGGAAAGGTATTATGCCAAGAGGACCCTAGAAAGAGAACACGGCAGGCATTATGTGGTGATGGCTATAAAACCAGATCTCACTTGGCCTACAATTTCCTGGATGACAATGGACATTTTGAACAGTCCAAGTCAGAAATCACCAACAGTGTGGTTAGCCCCTCTGATGCTCTGACCCCAGGCTTGTCCGCGAGCACTGTCTTCCTTTTACCTGGCTGGGGTGGATGAGGTGGCGGCATCTGGTGGTGCATCAGAGGGTAGGGAGGGGGCTGCTGATGAGGCATCATGCCAGGGTGCCCTGCTGTTCCAAGTGTTGCCAGGCCAGGTCCTCCTGAATGCTGGTGTGCCTGTTGAGGGTTCTGCCCATGCTGCTGCTGTTCCATTTGCTGTCGGGCTCGCAATTCAGCATATTTCAGTTGTTCCATGTGGAAGTTTTGGCGTTCAGTAAGCAACTGCTGCCTCTGTTGTTCTAACTGTTAAGAAAAGGAAGGGGAAGAAAAATGACACCAAGAGAGGCTCTCAAGGATTGGATGACACACAGGACATCTACCTGATGCAAGAATTCCCTATACCTTATCAAAGTTACATGGCCCCCTTGCCTCCTGCAACATCCACAGTAAGAGAAAAGGCATTATTTATTGAGTAGCACATATCTATTTGGTAACATGTTACCAAAGTCAAGGTCTTCTCTACATTAAATATAAGGTCTGCCTTTCCTTGTAAATTTCACCCAGTGGGGCTATTGTTCTCTGGGCCCACTTAGAACACATGTAATCCTCTCCTTGTTGTTAGGCCTTCAGATATCTAAAAGCAGTTTCCATGATCACCTTAATGTTCCCCAGGTAAAACAAGCCTCCTGCTCTTTTACTAGTCCCTCAGATGCTATTATTTCAAGTCCCCCCAATCTTTCCAGGTGTTCTCTTCTGGATGTGATCCTTTTGGTTACTGTTTTAGAACGTGGCACCAGAGTTAAATCCTCTGGATGAGTGGATGCAGCTTTAGCTGCAAAGATATACATTCTTTTATGTGGAACTTTGGCAGAGCCACTGTAAATCTTAGCTTTCAAGTACCCAAAATTATACTGGGTGACACATTTGCAGTATATTTTAGATGCCTAAATAAAAATTTACATGAATCTTAGTTTGAAGAATATAAGCATTTCAATATTCAAGATAATCTTTCTGGGACCCAAATTAAAGAGAAATAAATTATTATATGTGCCAGGAAATTCAGAAACCATATGCCTGGCAGTAGTTCAGAGAATGAAGCCCACCTTAAATGCTAACAAAATTAATTAATTCAGGGCTGAAAAAGAAAATCAACTTGAACATGAAGGAAAATAAAAATCCAGATTTCTGGAAGTAAGCAGTATAAAGATCACAAGGAAGGTTAATAGACCCATTTCTTTTCAATAATGTCCCATCCTACCATTTTCGATAGTAAGATCTAAGTCACTGGGAGGCATTTTCTAGAGCTGTGCTGTCCAACTCAGCAGCCACAAGCCACAAATGGCTCCTGAGCACTTAAAATGTGGCTAATCTGAAATGAGATATGATGTAAACGTAAAATACACAATGAATTTTGAAGACTAAGTATGAAAAGAATTAATTTTTCATACTGATACGTGTTGAAATAGTATTTTATATATACTGGATTAAATAAAACATTATAATTTCACTTTTTTTTCTTTTTTGAGGAAGATTAGCCCTGAGCTAACATCTGCCACCAATCCTCCTCTTTTTGCTGAGGAAGACTGGCCCTGAGCTAACATCCGTGCCCATCTTCCTCTACTTTATATGTGGGATGCCTATCACAGCATGGCTTGACAAGCAGTGCCATGTCTGCAGCCGGGATCCGAACCAGCGAACCCCAGGGCGTCGAAGCAGAACGTGCGAACTTAACCGCTGTGCCACTGGGCCAGCCCCTCACCTTATTTTTTTAATGTGGCTACTAAACATTTAAAATGACATATATGGCTCACACTATATTTCTGTTGGATAGCACTATTCCAAGGTATTTAATAGGTTAGAAAAATTAACATTTTAGCTTACAGGACCAACCAGTTCTGTGCATAAATACTATATACCATCATTAGCAAAAACTAAATGGAATATGCATGAGAATTAGCCTAAGAATCCGAGCTTTTAACAGAGAGCTGCTTGGAGAGAAGTCTCTGTGGACCCGAGTGAGAAGCATCAATGGTTAACAGGAGAAGCAACTAGGGAACATGCAAGGACAGATGAGGTACAGGAAGACAGGCCATGGACAGAGTGAAGAGAAGAGGCATGACCAGGTGAAGAGGAGGAGAAATGGAGAGAAGAGATGGTAAAGCGCACGTTCTGGGTGTTGGTTAGCTGGCGTGCAGTCTCCTTAGGGAGAAGGAGATCTGAAATGAACCATTTTGTGAGCGGTTGAGCATTATCAGGAGGGAATGAGACACGGTGCTACCATGGCCCTAATGAACTGGTGTGGGCTCTTCATTTTCTAGAGAGGGTGATCTGAAGAGGGAAAAGTCTGGCCTGGTTTAACTTCTCCTTGTTTGCAAGATGAGAAGAGAGTTGCAAGGTAAATAGCGAGAGAATCCTCTGGCAGTCCAGCTCTGCAAGAAGACCAATCAGTGATATAATGTAAATAAGAGGTACACTAATAAAAAATAGATCTACAGATTCCACCTAGAGGGCCTAGTTTTTGCTTTCTTCTAGCCATTCTTTCTAGGAAATTTAGGACTTTGCTGAGGTTAAACTTAAGAGGTTGCCAGAAAAGGACCTCCTACCTATGTTTTTGTTGAGCCACTATCAGGTCTGGACAGCTTGGCAGAAGTCCTGTATCTCTATAAGAATGATAGGAATTTAGGTCAAGATCTGCTTTATAAAGAAGCTAAACTGTTACTAGAGGGAGATTTTGTGTCTCTAAAGGGAAATTTTAGTCTCTGTGGCACCCAGCTCAGTGGTTTTTTTGTTTTGTTTTACCAAATCAGTCTTTCTTTGGGAGCTGATGTTAGTATTAAGGCATTAACCTTGGAAAGAAAAATGTGCCCAATTTTCCTTGTCTACGAGTGAACTAACTCAATTACACTATTTTTTCCTGAGCTCATTTGTCATTTCAAAACACAGAAGGTAATTAAAAGAAAGTAATTAGAAGAATTAAAAAGGTAAAGTGATTAAATACACACACACACACATACATACACATCCCCCCTAAAAAACAACCCAGTTTAAGTTTAAGCTCCCGTGTGGGGTGAATAGGTCGTCTGAAGTGAGAGGACTCCCAGATAGCAGGCTACCAACTGGCTCCAGGGTCATCTCTCCTCTGGGGCACATGCAGCAGAGCTTATGGACATATCCTGGCCTCATCATACAGGAGAGATACCTCTGTTTTTGTGGATACCTTACTGTTATTGAGTCCAATTGAAGACTGCATTTACTCTTGCGGCAATCAGAAAGAATGTGAACTGGGAATTTTTGAGGAGAGGATAACAGTATTGAGCAAATTTTAAATGCCCTTAACCAATGACCCAGTGATTCTAGGTCTAGAAATCTGTCCTAGAAAACTGTATGTATGTGTGTTTAAGGACAGTCATTAAAGTATTATTTCTGATGCACAATTATGTCTGAGATACACAGAGTTTAAAAAAAAAAAGCAAGCTGCAACAATATTTATAACATAATCCCAATTATATTTAAAAAAACTTGTGTCCATGTATAAACATGTTATATGCCACTGAATATGTTCTGGAAGACACCATACTATTAAACACTGATTATTACTCGGAAGAAAACTGAGGGCAGGAGAGACTTTTTAATTTATTCATTTCTTCATTATTTCAAAATAATTTTCACCACACGTTATTTTTGTAATCAAAAACCAAAATACTAAAAAGTACCCAAGTTATACATTAGATACCTTGATTTTCTTCTCTCCCTTTTCCATTTCCTAAAACTTTGGATAAAGTCCAAATAGCTGAACTGAACAGTGTAAATTACTCATGCAAATAGAGTATTAATACTCTGTTCACTTTCTTTAATGGCTCCAGTCTGGCTCTAGAGACTCAATTTCATACAAAGCTGCCTCTGGCCCGGCTCTGAAGACATATCCCCCCACTACATTCAAATTCTGCCTTCCTCTCCCCCTTCACTCCTACACATGACAGCACATAAAGCAGCCGAATCCAAGCGGAACCTGAACACAACAGAGCACTTTTCTACACCAAGACACCAAATGCAGACACAGCTGCAAGTGCAGCTGAAGTTCACACAAAGCTCTCGCCCCAACTTCATTCGAATAAAGCGGGGAGGAGGGGCGGGAAAGAAGGTGGGGGACACAAAAATCCATCCACACTGCCAAGGACTAAACAGCTCTGAGACTTGAAGCCTCTGACTCGCTGGCCTCAGAACTTAAGTAAATAATCACACCTTTCTTAAAAACGTCTGGTGTCAGTGACTAGACACTCACTTAAGAAAAACCAAGTCCAAAGCACCCATCTTCATTCCTCTTAACAGCTATGGCAAAACAAAACAACGTAACAGCATCTTGCTACTTTCGCGAGTGCTTCTGGAGGCAGAAACCCAAAGGGAGAGCAGGCACCATCATTGTGACTGGTCATTCTGTCCTTGTTGCAACGGGCTTGCTTCCTGAGGCCATGTGTCTTTTTTGATTCAGAAATAAACATACTACTAGGTACAGCTTTCTTAATCTCAACTAAAACTACCCATAACACATGGTGCATATCTAACAACAGATTCAATCATACGACAGGCAGCATAGAGATGAATCACTACAAATACCAAAAAACAAAGTTACATACAATTCTCCTGGGGCAGTATGAAATTCACTTTTTGGCTTTTTGTTCTTTCTTCCTTAATTTGCCATAACGTACAACAAATTTCTCTAAACCTACATTCTGTGTGTGAGGCTATGCTATTAGCAGTACCTTTAAAGTCTATCCAGAACTTGACCATTCTCTTCACTCCCATGGCTGCGACCCTGGTCCAAGCCCCCAGCATCTTATGTGGATTATTTTAACAGCCTCCTCATCAGTCTCCCCTTTTCTAACCTTGCCACATTGAAGTTTATTCCCCACAACACAGCAGGTAAGACTGACCTCTGCTGAAATGTAAGGAAGATCGTGCCAGGCCTCTGTATTTATTCCATGTTTTTATGGAATGCATAAAATAGGCTCTGCCATTATTTCACATTCTAATTAGAGCAAAATGAAAAGCCTCTGGATGGCTTAGAGGGACTTCTGTGATTTGGTCACCATTATCTGACTTCATCCTCTTATCTCCTCCTACTCACTTATGCTGTAGCTTACCGATCTTACTCCTTAGTCCCCAAACATGTCAGTCATGCTCCTGCCTTAGAGCCTCTGCACTGACTGTGTCTAGTGCTTAGAAGCACTTGCCCAATTGTCAGTTTCTCAATAAGGCCCATTCAGATAATATTGAAAACTGAAATCCCTCTCTTGCCCCTCCCA